GGTGATTAGAATTTGTTCTGATAAATACAAGAAAATGCGCTCTATAACAGTCAACTTTAGATATGCTTAACAGATATATGCAGCAAGACAACAGGTATATAAACCAAGCTCATAGTCTGAGATTTAAAAATTTTTTACATATTGATTTTTAGAGAGATGGAGCGATATCGATCCATTGTTCCACCCATTGATGCATTCACTGGTTGCTTCTTGTATGTGCCCTGACCAGAGATCGAACCCACAACCCTGGCGCAGTGGGAAGACACTCCAACCAGCTGAACTACCATTTCTCTTGTCCTTTAGCATGTAAAGAATCAAGTCTGGAAGAGTCTCATTATAGCAGTTACTCCAGAGTATAGAGACAGTCCCTTTTCCAACCTTATGGCGGTTACTTGGTCAGAATAAAGACGAAGAGGAGGTTTAAGTAAATTTTATCTCTTTTCAGCCGAAGAAATTTGGAGATGAAAAAAGGAAAATAAGAAAAACACTGTAGCCCTGGCCAGCGTGGTTCGGGTGGGCATATAGCACACCAAGAGACTGCTGGCTCCATTCCCAGCAGGGGCGTGCAGGAGGCAAGCTGATCAATCATTCTCCCTCATCACTGAGGTTTCTATCTCCCTCTCCCTCTCCCTTCCTCTCTGAAATCAAGAAAAATATACTAAAAATAAATCAATAAAATACGTATTTTTTAAAAAGAAAGCATCTGTAGGAATTATCTGTTACATCCCAGACTGCCACCAACTCCGGGAGCCATCATTACCTCTTCCACTTCAATGCTAGACACACTTTGGCCAAAGAGATCAACTTACTATTTCACTGAATACAGGGATGTCCTTATGGTTTTACAAATTTAAAATTACTTTTTTCTTCAATCACATAATTAGTGTAATTTTTCAAAGTTGTATACTAATTTGGGATTTGTAAAACCACAGTTAGTTGTAAACATCCAAGAAGTTATAGTTAAGATCCTTTTCACACTTTCCATGAATTAAATAATTATTTTCTCTATATTTATGTACACAGGCAAACAAATAAAACTTGTAAAATTTATATACTTTTAAAGCCAAGGAGTCTCAACAAACAGAAATACATAAACTCAAATTTAAAAAACACACAAAAACTTTTTTGCTTTATTCTCTATATAGAATTAAATGTACTTCACACAACTTCCATGAAAAGCATTATCAGCTTCTTTAGATGAACTAAATCCAAACTACAAAGAAATCTGAGTTTTAATTAAAATAAATTTCATCATTTCTCTAGCATTGCACACACAAACATTAAATATAGGAATGTATTTAAACTAGCACCCATTTGTTTTAACCTTTAAGAATCACATACTTTTATCATTTGGATTCTAAGATGATGAAAGAGAAAAACATCAGATCTTTTCTTTTTGTGAAGGCTCAAGAAACAAAACATTTCCTGATCAAATTAAAATAAAAAATAAAAACACTAAACCTTTCTTGCTGGGCAGCTGCCTATTATGTTTAACAGGCTTAAAACAAAATGTGTCAAAGATCAAGAGTAAGTTATCTGATATGTCAAATGCATAAGGTCAAAGGTACAATTTTATTAGGTCAGAGGTGGTATAAATAAAGTCTTGTATGTCAAAGAAGGGTCAGAGACCAGATGTACAAAATATAAAGACATCACAGATGACAAGTAATAACTTTAAGTAGGACAAGTATGTTTACTATAGATAACTCCACTGATTAAAAATGAAACTTCCCAGTGAGAAAGATAAAACTGCCTCTCTAGATCAGATACGTCATGTGCTATACTGCACACTTGTGTTCATGAAGAAGGAGCTATAACTAAAAATAACTACAGTCAAAGAATCGCTTAATGAAGGTGACAGGTTCTGAGAAATGCATCGTAAGCCGACTTCACTGCTGTGCGAAACTCAGAGTGACTCACTCACACCTGGCGATGCAGCTGCCACACCGCTGGCCGCGTGGGACAGCCTCCTGCTCCCAGGCCGGTCGTGCACAGCGACTGCACTGAGTACTCTGGCACCTGTAGCACAATGGCAAGTCTGTGTATCTAAACACAGAAAAGGTGCAGTAAAAATATGGCAGGAAAGATAAAAATGGTCCTCCTTCCAGGGCACGTAGCATGAGTGGAGCTTATACAGGACATGCTTATACTAGGTTAATCTTTCAACTCCAAAAGCCGCACAAAATATACAGAGCATCTCTCTGAGGGCAGTAAAACACAGCCCACACAGCAAGCTGGAGAGATCACGATCCCTGAACAAGGGAGGCAGCCCATGAGGGAGCTCCACATGCATTCTCGACTTTTCCGTGAGGGCTCGTGCCAACTTCTGGCACAGGGTAAGAGCGCAGCCCACAAGTAGCAGGCTTACCGAGCTGAGGAGACGGAATCGGGTTTGGAGAAGTCCCAGGGGTTGGAGCTTGAGAGGCAAAGTCAGACAGAAGTGAGCCCAAACAACTGCAATTTTCCCTCCAAAATTGGTCATATCCAGTCACTCAAGAGAAAACAGGAGCTTCATTCCTCCTACCTATTCATTAAGAACCAATTACAGAATTACCCCTGCTTCCTGGCCGCATCCAATTCAGGGCAAGCCATATGGCCTTGAACCATCCCCTCCTGCCCAAAATCACCCGGCACAGGCCCAAACCCTGTAAGTCCGTTCTACCACCTTATTGAGAAGCCCCATAACACCCTGGCATTTCCCCCTTTTTAACAAATCAATAAACCCAATTTTGTTCAACTATACCTTTGTTTCTCATGGTCTTTGCCTGGAGGGCATTGACAGAAAGCTAAGAAAAAGAGTGAACTGTATATAACTTCACATCAACATTAGGGATCATCTCAAAGACTTCAGGTTGAGTGCAAGAAGCCAGACACAAAAAGTACATACTACGCGATACCATCTATCACATCAAGGACTGGCAAGACTAACTGATGGTGCTAGTACTGACAGACTAGTTAGTTACCTTTTGGGGGTGTGACTAGGACAGGACATGAGGAAACTTTCTGGGGTGCACGAAATTACCTAAAACTTGACATGAGTGGAACAAATATAAACATTCATTAACCTATACATTTGAGTTCTGTGTACTCTAATACATGCTTTTGCTTCAAGAAAAGGGTTAAACATACATGTGCACCTACATCAATTATGGCCCTCAAAGAACCACAATAACGTTAAGAGATGCAAGACAGCTCTAACTGGTGTGGCTCAGTGGATAGAGCGTCGGCCTGCGGACTCAAGGGTCCCAGGTTCGATTCCAGTCAAGGGCATGTACCTGGGTTGCAGGCACATCCCCAGTGGGGAGTGTGCAGGAGGTAGCTGATCAATGTTTCTAACTCTCTATCCCTCTCCCTTATTCTCTGTAAAACTCAATAAAATATATTTTTAAAAAGAGAGAGAGAGAGAGAGAGAGATGCAAGACAAACATGAACTTTTCATCTTTGGGAATTTGTTATAACAACAACAACAAAAAACACCCTAGAAATTCAAAGATTAGCAATGCCACCCATGTCTCAGTAACAGCAGGGAGAAATTATTTATTAAAATGCTTACATAAATCTAAATTCCAGGTCAATAATAATTATAGGTATATAAATAATGCATTTCCCAAAATTTCTAAATCATAAACTATCATTTAATTAGGATATTATTATATACTAGAAGCCCGTTGCACGAAGATTCGCGCAATAGGCCTTCCTTCCCCTGGCTGCCGGCACCGGTTTTCCGCCGGCACCGGATTTCCTCCGGCACCTGGGACCCAGGCCTTTGGTCTGGCTGCAGCGGAGAAGCCCAGCCTCGAGGCTAGGCTTCTCCCCTCCGGCCGCAGCAAGGCTTGGCTTCCCTGATGTGGCCGCAGCGAAGAAGCCAAGCCTTTTCAGTCTTCGCTCCACGCCTGCATATGCAAATCAACCTCCATCTTTGTTAGGTTAATTTGCATACTTATCCTGATTGGCTGGTGGGCGTAGCAGAGTGACACCAATTTGCATGTTTCTCTTTTATTAGAGTAGATACTATCATATAAATCTTACAGTTTTATACGAAAAAAAGTTGTTTAGAGAGAGGAAGGGAGAGGGAGAGAGAGATAGAAACATCAATGATGAGAGAAAATCACTGATTGGCTGCCTCCTGCATGCTTTCCACTGGGGATCAAGCATGCAACCCAGGCATGTGCCCTTGACCAGAATCAAACCCAAGACCCTTCAGTCCTCAGGCCAACGCTCTATCCACTAAGCCAAACTAGCTAGGGCTACTTTTTTTTTTTTAAGAGTTCAGCTTTTTATTGACTGTTACAAAAGAGATTTAGCAGATGTTGGCAGGCTGTTATAAAAAAGACCAGTTTCCAGTTTGTCCTTCTTATTTTTTAAATATATTTTATTGATTTTTTACAGAGAAGAAGGGAGAGGGAGAGTTAGAAACATACATGAGAGATAGACATCCATCAGCTGTCTCCTGCACACCCCCCACTGGGGATGTGCCCGCAACCCAGGTACATGCCCTTGACCAGAATCAAAGCTGGGACCCTTGAGTCCACAGGCCGACGCTCTAGCCACTGAGCCAAACTGGTCAGGGCATAGGGGTGAAATTTTTATTGTCAACTGTTTTCCAAGAAATGTAGAGCATCACTAATAATTCTTTTCTTATATTATCTATAATAGTAAAAGCGTACTATGCAAAGAAACCAAATGGCCGAACAGCTGAATGATAGTCCGGACGACCTTCCGGACAAAGCCAAGGCTGTGAGGGCCGAGCCCCTTGCACGAATTTTGTGCATCGGGCCTCTAGTTAAAATATAAAAACACCACAATTTTATACTAGAATTATATTAAAAACAGTATTAAATTCTTATTTTTATGTTTTGTGTTAATGTGTACACTAAAATAACACATCTGTATACTATGACAGTAGCTATTAAGTGTTAATATAGTTTTAAATAATCACAGAACTACACAGAACATGGCCTTCTTAGGATAAAGGTGTGTAAATGAAAAGTGGAACTCACCACTTCCTCATCCGAGAGCTCTCTCCCTTGGATGCTGCTGCTCTCTCGCACGGCTTGCTGGTGCTTCCTTCCCTTAATGTGGCTGAACAGATACACCTCAGAAGAGATCTGCAAGCACAAAAGCAAGGCAATGTCATTAACCTAGACTTGCGTCTATTTTTAATGTTACACAGTCCACTCAGTAGACAATACGCGAGTTGAGGTCACTCTAGCATTTACATACGAGGCTTACAAATGTTTTCTTTTGCTTTGGCACTCTGCACTCCTGCTCCCAAGCGCTCACCCTATGTTGTACTACTCACTTTGCGTAAAAACGAGGAAAGAAGTTCATGGCATTCAGCAGATGCCTTTGTGTGAGTTTTAAAACACAGGGCGAGCAGGGGGAGAAACCAAGATGGCGGCATAGGTAAACACCGGAAATTGCTGCCTCCCACAACCACTTCAAAAACACAACTAAAGCCGAAACCGGTTTGGCTCAGTGGATGGAGCGTCAGCCTGCGGACTGCAGGGGCCCGGTTCGATTCCGGTCAAGGGCATGTACCTGGGTTGCGGGCGCGTGCCCAGTGGGGAGTGTGCAGGAAGCAGCTAATCAATGTTTCTCTCTCATCGATGTTTCTAACTCTCTATCTCTCTCCCTTCCTCTCTGCAAAAAAACAATAAAATACATTAAAAAAAAAAAACACAACTAAAAGACAAAACGGACATCATTCACAACGACAGGAAGGCTGGCTGAGTGGAGAGTCTACAACTAGAAGGAAAGAGAAAAGCACACTGAGACTCAGAGGAGGTGCGGAAGTTAAGTGCAGAGGTACGGAGGTGCATGCAGAAAGGGCTGGCAATGGAGGACACGGCTGTCTTTTTCAATCAGGAGGGAGACTCAAGCTCCCGACTGCTCTGAACTCCAGTTCCGGGCGAGTCTCTGGGGACTCATACGGGTAGAAACTGGACTGCTGGCATTGGGTGGGACTCGAGGGTGGCTTTCTCTCGGAGGTGCTTGCAGTGATTACCGAGGGACACTGAGACCCGGGGCTTCTTAGGGCAAGGCTGAGGATCGGCCATAGCTGTTTGCTCTGCCCTGTTGATCCCGAGACCCTGCCCCACCGAAGCTGTGTGCAGAGGCTTTTGCATATGAATGCCCTGGCCCTTTGCAATCTAAAATTACCTAACAAATGACAGCTGGGTCAGAGAAACCCAGAACATCCAAAAAAGGCCCAAGGACCCACAGCAGCTTGCATTGCTTCACAGCTTGGCCTCATAGCTCCTGCGGGGTAGCCTCAGGCAGAGGCTAAATTAGCAACTCCTTAGAGTTCCAAGAGCCAGTGTACCCAGTGGTCAGAGTGGGACCATCCAGATTACAACGCCTCAGATCCCTAAGGGACACACTCAGGGGGCAGACTCAGTGAGCAACAATG